CCCGACGCTGTTACTGACCGATGACTCTTCTTCGGCAAACTAACTTTCTTCAACCGCTACGCCAATGGACTTTGCTCCTCAGACCTCTCTTCCTCCTTTATCCTTTGATACTAACCATGTAGAACTTTGTGCATTCAGAACTGGTCGATACGACTACTCCTTTGTTTCTAGGGTATCAAGATGGCGGAACACTCTACCTGAGGAGGCTATTCCTAGTTCTAAAGCAGCCGCGGTGCCCTGGCATTTAGTCTTCTACCTGCGCGTCTGCTTGATTGGAAAGAACACCTGAATCCTTGACGTTTCTCATATTACTCGGCCTTTTTGTGCAGCAATACGAAAATAACATAAATCTGTGGTGACTGCTGAGTCAGTCTATCTACCTTTGTGTAAAAATTTACAAAACTCTCTTGTTGTTACAGCATACCAGTCAACAGCACTCTCCGTCGACCCAGAAGCACGCTACTAGCAACGGAAGCACGAGCGTCAGCACAGGGGCTACCAGCCCCCAGGGGAAGGTCTCGACCACCACCAGCACTACCGCTGTGTCGTCCAGTGGGACAGTGGGCTCGACCACCAATAAATCTGAGCCTAAGCCGGTCGAGTGTAATTTATGCCATCGAAAATTCAAGAACATACCGGCATTGAATGGGCACATGAGACTGCATGGGGGATATTTTAAGAAGGTCAGTACGATATTGCTGGTATCATTAAGATTCAAGTTTAAAAATCAGGATATTTATTTATACAACAGATATGCCAATTACTGGTGGGAATACAGAAAGATAACAAACAAAATGATGTAATACTAACTACGCCACATTTTCACATGTTCGCTTGGTGTATGATTATTTAATGTTGAGTATATCAAAATAGTCCTAAAGATTGTTATAACTTTTTTTATTATTATTGTTTCCTCTTTTCCACTTGGTTTGTACCCGAACTCACAGTAGTAGATGCCACCCATGATATTCGGATCAAAACCCACTAAAGCCATAAACCTTGGAGTTACGATGATAATGTTGGGTCAAGATTATATATTGAATCTTTTTGAACATCATTGCAGATGGAACTTGCCTCCGATTTGCATCCAAAATTGGCGTTCTACGCATTAAGACGTAGGTTCCACTAGAAATGAATAAATACAGTGTTAGTAGTCCTTGTAGTAGTTTTAACACAAAGTCATTGCAGTAGAGCCATCCCAAAAAAGGATCTAAGACTACCCTTATTACTCTAGGTGCTTTCTATTTTAAGTAAGGTGATGGATAGATGCATGAATCCCGAGCTTCAAAAATTGGGTTGGTAAAGTACGTACTCAATTGTCAGACAATAGAGATGAATTTTTGATCCATAACAATGGCTCTAGTAGCTGCAAGTATTAGCATCGCTACCACAGCATGCAACAGTGCAGATAGTTATCCTCAAAGTTTCTTTTCCGCTACAGCAGGATTATTGCATTGAAATGTACCGATTAAAAAGGATAACTTTATGTTGCTTTGTGTTAATTAATTGGCCTGAAAATGCAGGCGGAAGCCCGGTGGCTGCCTCTCGGATGTCTAATTGGAACCGTAGCGATACCCTAATGAATCAAAGGCGGCTGTTGAAACAAAGGCAGGTTCATTCGCCAATGTTACAGTTGTAATAACTGTTATTCAGTCATATTATGAGGATCCACTATAAAATTGGAGTTGACGAGCCTAACACTAACAAGCTACCAAGAGATGACAAAGCCACGCATTAGGTAATTGAAAAGAATATTACTGAAGCAGAGAGTTCATCTGAATATATCAGGGGAAGCTCCTATTAACATGAGTTTCCAAACTGCGTCTCATCAAGGTACACAGATGATATCAAGACAGCTGTGACCTATTTCCCTGTTCCTTCCACAATGGCAACATGTGCCCCAGGGATCGATCTTGGCTCCAACATTACATATCAACGACGTCCTCTCCTGTACGGACAATCCGAGCCACGGAACTGTTTGTGGCAGCACTCTACATGCAGGCATCAAGAGTGCAAAGCCTATCTCTCTATGAAGTGGAAATAGCAGGCTACTTCCTCTGTGTCGAGAGATTCTGAAGTTATCACTCCTTGGAGACGAATCAATCTCGTCCAGTTTAATGCTTTCAAAACACTGTACAGTACCTTGACTGACAAGAAGCGCCTTAGCGTAGCTTCAGTTTAATGTCAGCCAAACGGTCAAGGGGAACTGCTTACTAGCAGATACAGAGGTACTTGTCCAATATATCCCATACGTAAAAACTGATGACGAGACGAGCGAGTTTTGGGAAGTGGAGTTCGGAGTTTTCCAAGGTATGGTGCTTGGACCTATACTTTTCAACGTATACTTGGCTGACCTGTACAAGCAGCTACACGGAGAAAATCGTGACTTACACATGTTCTATAGCTTTCAGGGACCTAGGTGTTATAATATGTCCCCTGAAGAATTACAACAAACAAGCCCACTTGGACTATTTAAGAAGAAAGTATAATGACTTTACCAAAGGATCATACACACCAAGACTTATACTGCAACATCTGGTGTGCCACAGGGATCCAATTTAGGACCTTTGTTGTTCACAATCTTTATTATTTATTCTGTTATTAATAATCTCAGTTATTGCATTCTGTTGCAAAACTGCGTGAACTGCTCATGGTTCAAGGTTATGTCATTTATTAGAAAGCTACATCCTACAGTACAAGATAATTATAACATTAATGGCAACCTGCTAGCGCAGTCGACTTTCAAGGATTTAGGTGTCCTGATTGATGCTAAGCTGACATTTAATAACCACATCCTCCATATAAAGCATTAGGCTAGCTGGATAATAAGCTAGTGTTTCACGAGCATTATGAATACATTATTTCAAAAATATCAAAAAAAGTAAATTACTTCTATAGAGCTTCCCATTATCTTAATATGTGTTCTAAAAAAATTGTGTATAACACTAAAATAAAAACAAATATGCTAGGATTTAGTCTATGTAAAAAAATGCATATGGTATTTAGTTCTCATTTCGTATTCAAATTGAAAAATCGTTTATTACCAACACATTTAGATAACTTCAAAAAATTAAATAGTAATCGTCATAACTACAAAACTAGAGGCAGTACAGATTTACATCTGCAAAATTGTAATAGTAGCACAACAAGCAAATCTGAATGATATTAAACAGTGTTCGAATTGAAAAAATGTTTAAGGTGAAATTAAAAAATCATTTTATGGATACTCAAAATATAGTTTTAATAGACAAGAATGTAAACTTACAGAAAATGGATTCAAAAAATATGTAAACAAATAATTATGCATAATTGACATTTTAGCATCAATGCTAAACAAATTCTCGTCAAACAAACTAATACACATCTGGATTGAGTTTATAAAATAAATATTAGAATAATCTCAGCTCAAATGTTGGAGTATGTGGCCATTTGACATCCAGTGGTGGTTAGTGCCAGCAGCCACATAAAGAGACGGTCACGCCTGGTGTAATAAAATTGAATTATGCGGTGCATAAAACGTACCCGGGCGGATTTTAGCAACATTCGTCAAATTTTATTCACACCCCTGAGCTGTGGAGCGTGTTTCCTCAAACTATAAAATCTCTAGAACAATTTGAGCGTGAGCGTGATAAGTTACATAGCTAGTCATGCTGCTTGATCTGAAACAGCAATATTTCATTTGAACATTTATTTATTGAATATATTTTTTAATGAATGGAAAGTATGTTCTAACAAATTTTTGAATTTCATCTATTATATTTATTTATATATTTTATCAAAAGGTTGATCTGTATCTACCACGTTATCTCATGTTTGTTTTAGTTAAATATTTGTCTATTTTTATGATATATTTCTATTTTTTTTATCTTTGACTGTAATTCTGATGTATGTTATTTACTTATTTATTTCCTATATGTTTCTTTTCATCCCATTGATGTGTTCTGTCATCCTGTAATGATCCGGCAGAACCAATAAAGCAATGAAAGCGTGAATCTCCTTTGTTTTCCAGGACTCGGAGAGCAAGAAATGCGAGAAAAAAGACCCGGTGGGTCCTCCTTTACAAACGGCCAGCGTCAGCGTGAGGGCCCTGATCGAAGAGAAGATCATCAACAAACGAATAACAAGCACACCTCAACCCACCCCCGCTTCATCTTCGCAAGACGATGCGAAGAGCACCTCCACCCCCAGCGCGCCGCCTTTATTTCCCCTACAAGCCAACTCGCCCACCGCAGCCAACACGGATTTGGAGTCGAAAATTTCGTCCTTTGTTGTGCCAGCTCCACCGCAACACCAGGAGAAGCTTAGAAGACATTCCGACACAGAAGTAATTTTTTTGTCATTGTCTTATGATGTCAGAAGGGCTATATTATTTATACAAGGCATCTGTTGATAAAACCTTTGGCGCTCTTGTATAATAAATGTATACGCAACGGTATTTGGTCAGATGTATCCAGAATTTCTAAAATTGTCCCTATTAATAAACAAGGGACAGAGTATACAGAAGGTAACTCTGATAATATAGCTACCATATGTGAAAAACTAAAATAGTATGCATAGCATACAAAATACCGAGCTAGCGCTATTTCTATCGAGTCTGTCAACTATGTAACCTCTGAGGGCACCGCCCCTGACCTTTTCCCTATTTGCAAACGGGGTACCGCAGGGATCAGTACTTGGCCCCCTGCTATTTCTAATATCTATCAGTGAAGGCCCTCGATGATCCTGCTTTCTGTTTGCAGACGATATCACCTTGCTATTTAGACGCGACCAAAACACGGGTGTGGATAGTCTGTTTAATTTCTATATTGTACACGTTCGTAATTAATTCTTTCTCAGAGGGTTTAACTTATGCTAATCTCAATCGCTCGATGCCATTTTTTTCTTTAAGCTTCATTATGACGTGTTTCTCTGTAGGCGTTTCAGAGTTCACCGCACCAAGAAGCTCAAGCTTTGGCCGATTTGATATTGAAAAGGGAAAAGGCGACTGTGAAAAGAACTACCTCGGATCCCGGCCACCAGTCGCAGTCTTCATCGCCGCTGATGCAGTTCCAGACGACAGATTCCTTCAACCTGTCAAATGTCACCTACCAGTCAGAAGATGAATTCATATCGTCTACTTTACAAGACGACATGTTCTCGCAGGTTCAGAACAGCATGCTTTTGCAAGGTGGGTGTTTCTCTCATTTTACGAAAACCTGAAAAACTGAGCTATACTGAAGGATTCCTTTATCAACAGAAACGAAAGTTCTTTATCCTGGATTATGATTACCTACACCTGGATTCACCGTGTTGACACCAGTAAGGACATCACCCGATACTATTGCATTTCCTTTCCTCATCTTTAGTCCTGAGCGGCAACCTCACACAGTTTCTGTCAAATCGACGCGCCAATAAATTTTTCTGTTTTCTCAGGTAGCAAGAATTTCGCTCCAAATCCTCTTACAGTCGCTTGTACCACTTCTAGGGTGACAGACGTACCCAGAATACGCTGGACTTTTCAATTACCAGACTCAAAAAGGCTTGTCAGAGTTTGCTTCAACATAACAAAACCTTATAAACATGCTAATACTTCAAAGCATTCATAACCATGTCTATTTCCAATTTCTTCATCTCGCTTTTTTTAATTGTTTACATGTTGATGAGCTACATTAAAGTCGCACTAAAATATAGTGCAGTATAAATAAACAGCAATAAACTAGGTGACATTGCCACACTTCAGCATTTTACATCACACCACAGATTATCAAAAATATAGAAATAGAAACTTTTATAGCTTATATTAAAAGTAGTCTGTTTCTTATAAGAGTTATTAACAGGGGGTCTTTATGTTGTTTGATGAATTATTGTAAGCTGGGAGGTAATGAACCTATAAATTATCCAAATATCGCCGCTATGTATCTTTGTGTTTCAATATTTCAAGATACTTTATGTTGCGACTTTGATTTTTAAGATATGCTTCTACTACTTTCTGAATTAATTATTGTATACTTCAAATTGTTTCAAGGAAGTGAAGAAGTATTTGTGATATAATAATAATAATTTATTCACATCAATTACAAACTGTGAATAAATTGATATGCCACAAAAGGAAAATATCCATGTATTTGGATATCAATCTAACCCAACATACATATAACATAGTAGTTACATTAAATTGATTGGACTAAAAGTAATCTATATAATATAAATGTACTTGTATAAATCTATCTGACGGATACAGTTATTCTTAATGACAAAGCTAACTTTAAACAAAATTATATGTGTGGATCTCAAGTAAATAAATTGTAGAGCTCATACTTACCATCATCATCATCATCGTCATCATCGTCACCATAATCATCATCATCATCGTCATCATCATCATCATCGTCATCATCATCATTATCACCATCATCATTTTTTAAGTTCAAGGCGAAATATCGTTAAATTGTTGATTCTTTTTATATCATCAGGGAGGCACATCTAAATTTCCAGACTATAACGAATGATTGAGACCTATTCAGAAAGGACATTTTTTTCGACTCACAAATGACAAAAACATTCCAAAACAAGGTGGGAAATCTCTTGAGTTCTGTACATTGTTTTTGCGCTATCACATCCTTTCCCAGAATAATGCAACATAACATCATAAAATCGAAAATGGCCTGTGTGAAAGATGTTCTAATTGCACAACGTTGTAGTATAACTGTTTATAACACGATATTGCTACCCCAGCTGGACGTTGGACACGATATATAGGTAGTATTCCTCATTAGCGAGATCAGTACCATTCCAAAAGTCATTTGCAACATGAATGAGTTCCAATCCTGTTCTGCTCTTCCAGGTGTGGACCCTAACCAGCTGGCTACGATCCAATTCCAACCAGACGGCCTCCTGCAGGAACAAAGCGATCAACAGTTGCAAGACTTCAAACTAGAGGACATCGACTTGGAAGAGCCCGTCGTTGACCAATCGCCGTCATACCAATCCAACCACTCTGTCAATCAGGACCTACAAGCGGTCCTGGACTCACCACTGCCCGAGAGCTTAGCCGAGTTCAGCACGTTTCATGCTGCTAGCAACTTGGACATGCCTTCACCTAGCTACCAGACACAGTCTCCTGTACAGTATGCCAAGTAAGGGTTTTGTACTGGATGTTAGAGCCATAGTCATAAACAATTTGATTTAAAAAATTACGGTGGCAACATTGGTAAATAATTATATCTGTTTACTTATTTCGGTTTACTGCTTTCGTGACAAACAGTTGAAGGTGTGCCAGAGTTATTTCAACAAATACCTAATCTAGGTTATTAAAAATACTCTCAGTATGTACTAAACTATATTAGAAACGAGAAAATTGACATGCTATTGATTTACGGGGAAGCAAGAAAAAATGCAACTGAGGAAGCTCGAATTTATTCTCAGAGATTCTCCAATTATGGCCATCCCACTCGGCATTATTTTCCAAAACTAGAACAGAAAATGCGAAACGAACCAGAAAAAAAGGTCAATAACTTTATCGTCAGTAAAGAAAAAGAAATAGACGTGTTGACCTATGTTGAAGTATTATACAGCGTCAATTCGGCAAATTGTTTTAGAATGTGACATAAGTTATTCATCTGCTTGGAGATTTCTTCACAAATATAATGAATTATCGATCATTCAAGTATCAATTATTATACCATCATCGTTACGTTGACGACCACAACCGAAGATTAATTTATTGCAACTGGTTTTTGACTGAAAACAGAGAAGATGTACGTTTTAAAAAAGTCATTAGGGATTAGATCTGGGGATCTTGGTGGCCAAGGTATTTCTATGGATATCTAGCATTAAGGTACTCATGTACCCCTGGCCTTCTCTTGAATCGACTTGAGTAGAGAAGGTTAGCTCCAGTGCACGTGTATCAGTTTTCGATTTCAGTAATGATTTTTTTCAGGTCTCCACACAATATAACAGCTCAATCTCCGCTGCAAAGTCCGCTAATCAGGCACGATTCTCCGGGATTTGCTTACCCCACACCTCCGGCTAGCCATGAAGGGCAAAGTCCTGGCTTCGGTCAAAGCACGATACTTCCTATGGTATCGCCTACCACGCAGGAATTTGGTCAAATCGTTGAAAGAGGTAAGCATTTAGCTAATATTTATTAGATTGTTTACCGAAAAAATATAAAAATAATAGACCTAGCGTTAAATTATATAATTTATTCGACAATGAAGATAAAGAACACAATTTTGAAAATACGACTAGTTGCTACTCCTCAAAGTTTGTAAAAAACATTGCTTAACCACCGTTTGTGTTCAGTTGAGGAGTACAAGAGGGTAGTAACATCCGACAGACGTGCACATTGTCCTTAACATCCGTAAGGTTCTTGCCAGGATCTAGAATACCTTGAAGGTCTTTATCTCAAAATTGAGTATCTTGACCTTCAGATAAGAGGCATGTCCATTGAAGCGAAGCGACGTAGAGAGAACTGCGAATAGTATTTTTGCATAGACCCAGTCAGCGGTCTATCATTTGACTATAATTGTATCGATTATAATAAATAGTAAAGGCGCCCAGCGGAAAAGCTTCTCTTATCTTCACTTCCCTTAGATGGGCACGCGCTTTGAGGATGAGGATCATGTTTGGCTCTGGTCAGGCGCATAATCCATGGTCTTTTAATGACTTTTGCAGGTTACAGTTTGTTTGGGAAGCTCACCGACATACACTCCTTATTTTTGTCTCACCGTCTTGAAAATTTTCTCGACAACGTATGAGTTTTCCACATTTATGCTTGTCACTATCAATATGACATCTCCCTTGCGTGCATTTGCATTTGTCTGTTATTGATCTACAATATAAAATATACTGTCAAATTTACTGAAATAATTTCAGAAAGTGAATGAAAATAACGGTCTTTTATGTGTGTACAACAGTAAGTAACAGCTGGTGCAGTGTGCAATTTTCCTAACGTCGTATATCATTGAGACGTATACTCAAGTTTAGAGCTGTGAAAATTATCCACATATCTTGATTTTTCGTAGGTATCTACGAGGAGCCGCCGCAAGCCTCATCACCTCTCTCAGCAGCTTTCTTCACCTCCACCATGTCCAGCTCGGAAGCGGTGGAAGAAGCTCTGGAGGAAGTCCTTCCCGATGAGCCTATCTATCCGCTGACCAATTCGCCTCCTCCAGAGTCTCCGTTGAATCCGGAGGTCATGGGCACGCTCAACCTTACTCCAGTACCTTCGCCCATACCGACCATCGTGACGTCATCGGAGACCTCGCATACCTCAACCACCTTTTCCACGTCCACGGAGCCCAGCTACTCCATAGCTGGAAGTTGGGGCGGCGGGATGATGCTGCCTAACTCCGACGATCCGCTGCTATCCAGTAGTCCCAAGGATTTTGTACCGAGGCGGAAAGTTGCTATAAATGGTTAGTAGGAGGCTTTTTATATGCTGGAAGTCGGTATGCAAAATAACTGAGCTGACTTTTCTGTATTGTATATGGTACTGAGTACATTTGCCACGCTTATTTTATAAACAAGAGGAAATGGTGGTGTGATTCCTCTCTCAAGAAAAGTAAAGCAAAGGCACAAAAAGTTAAAAATGTACTAATATTGGCTGCAATACAGCTACAAGGCAGCTACAAAACAAAGCTGAAGAAGTGTGAATGTTGATTCTCCGCAATGCCTTCCCACTAAAAGGAAGCAGATATTGAACAAGCTTCTTCAGGACATGGATTAATGCTCGTGGTCCGATGGCATACAAAAAAGAACTTACCACTGAAGGTTAAAATCCCATTAGAAAATGGACGGGGTAGCACCCAAACTAACACAACTAAACGTAAGGTACAAGCTAAACAGTAAGCAAAAGAAAATGGCACTGCCCCGTCTGTACACGTAAGTTTTTAAAAGAAGGTATCTTGATAGGAAACCATATATTCCTATACAGGCCAGTACGTACAGAAATCACAGTGTGGCGCTGATTGCCAATGCGCGGAACCATCTCTACGAGAGACCAACGATATTTTATGAGGAAATTTCTGAGATAGTTGTTAGTAATACTTAACATTAGTGTCGAAAAGGCTTCAAAACGATACTGAGTCCCTGAGAAAGAAATATATATGTGTGAAATTATACAATCAATAAACTACGAAATTTGCCAAAATCAAATCATAAAAAAGGTATAGCCTAGGAATCGGCACTCTACCATCAATAAGGAAAAATTCAAATAACCAGTAAGTGCTCAAAATGGTAAAAAAAAGTTACGTGATTTTGGCACGTGACACATTGAAATCGATTTAAAAGCATAAAAAACTACTTTTGGAAGCCTGGACTCGAGTGAATATTTCCTGGTCTACGTTATCTCTCCGCAATCTTGGGGTCATAGCTACAAATTGCAAAAGAAGCACTTCAGAATCTCGGACCGGCAGTGTTTTCTTTTCAATCGAGTGTTCAACACCTGAAATAGCTTACCAATTAATACAGAGTCTCCTGAAAGTTGGGACTTTCCTTTTCAGAAACAGCTATGATTGCTTAACTTGAAATTTAATCAGCTATTGAAAGGCCGAATCTAAAGAAAAGGAAACGTTAACCCCAAGAGTGTCATGAGAGTAATGACAGAATTCCAGCATTGAATAATTATTGTTATACGATATCTACAAGTACAGAAGACTACGGTAATATTCCTGCATCCGCCTTTATTGGTTATGTTGTGGATCATAATATTTCTACTGAACTAACTAAATAGTCAATACCACTCAAGTTCAAACACAAGTACCAGTCAATATCAAACAGATTGTCCAAGTTCCTAATAAACTCTTGTCGACGTTGCTCAAACACTTCTTGTGTTTTGCTTGCAATTTTTTCAAATCTCTCCAAACTTGGTATAAGTTAACTAGTTTCTTAAGATAGTTAGGTAGAGATTTAGTTGGTATAAGTGCCTTTTCGGTACTCACGAATTGACACTCAATTTCACTTCCCTGATATTATAAAACAAGTTTATATATATATATATATATATATAACTTGAGACGTGGTCATTGTCGTCTAGACCAGTTAGGTGAAAAATTAAAGCTTCCACCTTTTGTTGGGTACTTCGACAAAATTTAAGCAAAGAGGACTCTTTATACTTTTTTAATTCTCTCTAGCTTTCAATGGACTTTGCCATCATCATCAGGAGCTGCAATTACAATGATAACAGTAGCAACAAAAGTGTAAAATGAATTTAAATTGACTCAACTTGCAGTAGTATGTGAGGATGTTGCTAATTGTTGTTTACGTATAGAATGAGGGAAACGTCCAGTAACATAGTGAGAGCTGGATAGATGGTACAATGGTCAAAATTATATAAAATATGACAAGAACAAGTTGAAAACAGATTAAAAATTATTTAAAAAACATTAGAGCATTACATCGTGAAGCCACTTGATGATTGCACAAAATGGTGGTCATGGGATAATGAGTGAGATGAACCTTTGACAGAAGACCGAAGGTTGAAAATGTCTGTGTTGAAAGATGGAACGAATTGTGGGCGTGTGCCAAACGTTGCCAAATCACTTCAGATGGTGTGATTTTCAGAATGTTATGTAAGAAATTGTTAAACCGACCAGAGGCAGTTGAATAAACTATATTTTAATTGATGGGAATTTAAATTAACAATTATTAATAAATCGTGAGAAGAGAATTGTTATATTTTGAGTGGAATGAAAGTTACTGGTGGAATGGGAGAATTAAAAAAGTATAAAGAGTCCTCTCTGCTTAAATTTCGTCGAAGTACCCAACAAAAGGCGGAAGCTTTAATGTTTCACCTATATATATATATATATATATATATATTATAGATAAATATTTTTCCGCATATTTTCTTGTGACTAACATGAACACAACTGGATTGCAGGTATCCCATTGAAGCTGATCAGCAACAACGGGTTGATAGATTTGAACAACACGAACTTCGCCGGCATTCTAGTGGACGCGAATGGTGAAATCAAGTTGATACAAACCACTGGCAACAATCTGCAAGGGAAGAATTTTGTGCTGGCTAATACCCAGATAGTGACTCAAGAAGCCGCGAGTAGTAGTGATGATAAGAGCAGGGTGCAAAAGATAATCAAAACAGTACAATATGCGATACCAACGAAAAACGTCGTAACAAATAGGCCTAAGCAAGTAAACGAAGTCAAGAAGGAAGAAGGAAATGATGTGTTCCTGAGCCCAACAACGTAAGTACGCACTTATCACGAGCGAATGCTAAGATTTTGAATGAGCGTGGGTGTTTTTGTTATGTTAGGATATTCAATATTAGCGATTTATCGGCGTAGTTCTTCATCAGTGGAAACATGGTTCGCGATGCGTCCAGAAAGTGTGAGTTTCTCTACAATGACACCGATGCTAAAAGTAGTAGATTCTAAACAAATGACATGAGACCAGCTAACGTCATGTACAGGGTTTGTCCGGAAAGTAATAAGACTGAGTCGATTTAAAAAAAATTATTGAGCCAATTGCCAATTGTATACTATAGCACTCGACAGCACCGAAAATTTCAGGATGGATTTATAATTATGTGGGTAAGCAGTACAATCTAGATTGTCTATTGGGGATCGACTTCGAAGTTGAGTCATTTATTTTAACAGTGAGTAGATCTGATCAAAAGAAATGTTTTTTTCCTTTACCATTTTTCTGGTAAAATTAAAGTAACAAAGTTATAGCCCTTTGGAAGTTTGAGTACCGCCCTGTCTCAATAATAATATTATGTGCTCGTGTTTGGCAACAACGGATATAATCCGCCTTATCGGTTCATCGCATCGGAAACAAAAAATCGAAAGAATTTGGAACGATGTTTTTACAATTATTTTATTCAGTTGTATACAGTCAGTGACAGTCGGTAACGCGTGAGTGAATAGTGGTGTCTGTTGCGTGGCTCAAACGAAATCAAAAATGGCACATGTTTACGAAAATGCTGAACTTGTGGACATGATTCTTATTTACGCGGCATCACGGTTTCCCAATCGAGTGCAACCAACCCCTCGTGCCTTTGTTAATGTAGTACAAAGGGCTCGTGAATCAGGTGACTTAAGACCTCACAGGGGAGAGCATGCCGGTGCTCCAAGACCGCACGATCAAATACAGGTCCGCACTGAAATACTTGTCGGGAGGATACTTTATAAAACAAGGTAACATTTTTTTTTAATTTTTTTTTTATTTTTACACACATATTTTGGTTTATCTTCCTTCTACAATCATTATCTGAAAATTAATGACTCAACTTCAAAGTCACCCTGTATAGCGTAGTGAGCTCTTGTAAGTTAAATCTCGAGCTTTCGACAGCTTATGCTGCCATCTTCAGGAGTTACTCGTTGAGGTTGTTGCTGAATGGCTTTTCAGAAGTACTTGTATGACACCACTTGTTAGGATTATAAAAATTCAATACTGCACCCAGGTTTGTCATTAAGTAAATTTACACCGTACATTTACACGTGGTGGAAGTCCCAATGAACAATATAGATTGTATTTTTTACCCAGCTAGTTGTTGGTCCGACAATGACTACCTCATATATACAGAGTGTTCGTTTGAAAACTTTCCACCACGGATTTATCGAAAACAACTGATTAAAAGGAAAAACGAAAGACACGTTAAGAGATTTGTCAATGAGGAAAACTTTTTAACCAAAACGACTTCACCACCAGGGTCATTCCCATCAAAATTTCAAATGGCAAAGGGATCGAGTAATAGCTTGCTTGAAAGGTCTTCCGAAGTCCTTTATTTTGACGATTCGCTTTCGATAAAACTAGAGAAATCTTTATTTATCTTAATTTGTTCGGTTAGAAAACAAAAACATACAAAAATATCACTTTTTATTTTAATAAGTGTTCAAAATGTTGCCTGTTAGGGCTTGCCAAATCTAAAATTCGTTTATAATTTAAAACGGAAGCTACCAACATACACAGCAATTCGGAAGGTTAAACGTGGCAACAACCAAATAACAACCCGATTTTTTTTCCGCATTCTTTAGAGTTAAAAAATATGACATTTTGTCAAGAAAATCGAAAGAGTATGTTGTGCCTGAGGGTAGGGTATGTCAGGGTCGTCTGAATGTGATTCAATAAGGAGTGCTTTGAAAAAAAACATTACGTGTGTAACCATTTAAATTCTATAGGATATCTGCAAGTCCAGCAAGGATCTCACGAAAACGGCCTAGAACCGAGCCCCTTCAGCTACCTGTATTTCATCAATCGAAATTGAGGGCTACAAGGAGTAAGCCTCAGGGTTCAGCTCGATACACCCCACAACCAATCCTGAATCCTCAAAGGCCTGGCTCCGGCTTGTATACAAACCTAAAAAGTAAAGGTATGTGCCTATTATGCTCGTCCAAAGACTTATTTATTTTGGGGTTTTATTTTTTTCTTAACCATCACTTTAATGCAACTTTTTCGACAAACTATCAGCTTTTATTTTGTAATCCCAGAAAAATTGAGACTGCAGCTTCATAACGTCATCTTGCAATTAATGTTTGGAGAATTATAGTTGATTCTTTAGTTATTCTTTCATACCTAAGAATTCAACTGGGAAAGATCATGCTCTCTAAGAAATAACTCCAACGGACTGCTGTAGCATGGGGCATAATGTAGCATTTTGGCACAGATTTATAAAAAATTACATTTATCTGATATTTGTATAATGATTATTATTAATTCAAACGGAAGTTTAACCTTTTGCTAAGAATTATCATTATTTTTTATTTTTTGCTGTATCATTTTCTTCTTCCTACACAATCTTGGCGTACATATTTTTTTGAATCCTCATCTATCAATGAGACTTCTTGTCATTTTTCCAAAAACCGATTAAAAGTTCACAACATATCATCTTGCTTATGATGGTGTTTGATCTTCAGGTGACGATGGCGTAAGTTGGAGTAGCGACCCTATTCCTGAAACCGATTCCACACCGCACGTGAACATTGGCTCTCAGTTCCAATGTAAGATTCCCATGTTCTCATCAACACCTAATAGAAGCAGCCATGAGCCAAGCTATGAGGATTTGCTGTGGGACCCTGGAATAGCCAACTGTACAGATAGTGAAGGTAAGTTGGACTACGAAAATATACTTACTATTTTCCAAAATAGCTTCTTACAGTATTCTGGATAAAAGTCTCCATCTGAACTTAAAAAGCTTCTGGAATTGTGCCCCAACTCAATAACAGACTTCTTATGCAGACGATACATTGATATTTTATATAGTACATAAGCATTTGGACACTGCTTTAGAACTGTTAATAAATAATAAAGATAGCAAAGTGTTCGAATTTAAAAATGTTTAAGGTGAAATTAAAAAATCACTTTGTGAATACTCAAAATGTATGGTGATGTAATTTTAACAGAACGGCAAGTAAAATTACATAAAATGGATTGAAGAAAAATAAGTAAGCGAATAATTAATCAAAATTGACTTTGTAGCATTAGTGTTAAATGAATCAACAAAGAAAAGTCATTCAATCTTTATTATATACATTTTTGTCAGGTATTCTTCATTGTTAGAGGATTGTCTATTATTATTGTTAGTTCCTCATGTTTTTATGTACATGTGCGTTTTTACTATATTTATGTATTATTTAATCCTGTATTTCTTGACATATCTTATATGATGTATATATGATGAAACTACTACTCGTACTACTACTACTACTACTTTCCATGTACGTCGATGCAATGGTACTCGGAATTAGTATGTAATTCTAATATATTCCTACTTGTTGATTGTGATATAATGTTTTTTAGTTGACATGTACCTGGAATTTGCTTGCTGCGCTGCCGTTCCCGGAGGAGGAAGAAATAAGGAGTATGCTATGCAACTGCTGTTTATGTGTGGTGGGAACATTCATGTAAGTCGAAGACATCTAATTCTCTGGTTCTAAAACTACACCCTTTTAAACAAACAAACGCGGATTCCCTTTCCATAATACCATCTAGCAGTTTAAGTGTAGCTGCAACAACTACTAAATCACCAAGAAGGTGAGAAAAGAGACTCGACAACAAAAATTCACCAATGGATGCCGATTTCTACCACATTTTCCACAACCCGGCAAATCACAAACTGGATGTGAAACTGATTCACTAACAAAGGTTGTGGCCGCTGAACTGCTACACGAGAGCACAGGAAAAACAGCACTAAGTCACGTTCAGTTCTCTTATTTGAGGTCGACGGAATTATAAAAAATCGCCTTTAACGAGATGCCACTATTTATTCATTCATTCAATATGAGTTGCCTCAATTCTTAACTAATATCGAAGACCTGCTATTCATTTTAATTCTACAGATATCGGAAGTCCAATAAAGTAATGATGATGTGCGCTGAGGTTACTCGATAAATTATAAATATTTCCTTTACAGGAGGCGATGTTGCGGCTCATGCAACCCACCCCCTCCCTTCCGTCCGACCACCCGCTGCTCAGCTACAACTACACGGAGAGTGACAAATGGACGACGATGGAAACGGAGCTCTTCCATCGGGCGCTGCTGAAGTACGACAAGGACTTCAGGCGTATCGCGCATGACATGAAGTCCAAGACGGCCAAGCAATGCATCCAGTTTTACTACGTGTGGAAGAAGGTCTGTTCGGACGAGTACAAGCGGCTGAAGGTGGTCAGGGAGAGGAAGCATACGATCCTACGGAGCACGGAATCTGACATGGCCATGGAGGACAAGCTGTATTTAGATGCCAAATTATTGGGGGTGAGTTGAAGATGTAGAGAGTCGTGAACTTTTTTTATCGAACTTGGTTGACCAGAAAAGTCTGAGAACATTTTCGTTAGTGGATACTCAGCTAAATATTTTATGCGTGTGTGCCGATGTGCTTTCAGACTCCAACCATTATTAAGACAATCGCAATTTTATAATCGTAACAAGTGTTCTCATCCACGCTCTTATTTTGAAACTCAAATTAGCAGCAACTCACCGACGAGTAAGTAATTGAAATTTGTTCTAAATTGGTTGCTATTCTCATATTTGTTTTAGCTCCTGAATATGACAACATAATTTGTCGAAAGCTTGAGGTTTCAGCCAAAAGAGTTCACTACGCTTTAAGTTTTGCCAATTCCCAATAAACAACATATATATATACGTATATTAGAGCATCACTCACAGTTCCTGAACTTCAGTGGCAATTTTGTTTTCATTTGACATTTTGAAGATTGTGCAGATTCTTATAATCACTCATAAAAGAGCTTGAAAGTTATTTTATTTGCCTTGCACCTATAGTACGTAACGTTTTGACGTTGCACGTTTAGAAACATCTGAGCTGTTTAATTTATATATGAATAATTTTCCAGTTGGCTGATAGCGGATCACCAATGCCTATACAGTCCGAGACACGGAACTTCATGTGCGAATATCCAGACTGTTCTGCGGTAAGTTGCTAGCATATCACAACAAAACGTTTCTTTCTTCTTCTCTCAAGATAACAATAATAATATATTTAACATATTTCATTCTTGAATAGCCACAGACTACAAATCGAAAGTCATGAGGAAATGAACAGGAACAAAGACACATACCATATACATGAACTAACAATACAATACAGACTAAAAAACAGTTTTACGTGCATGAAAGAAGCTACAGTCAAGACGACACTTTATAGAAGGAAAAAACGAACACTTGGTTCTTACAGACGTTCAAGTATTCTAAATTAAAACGAGACCACAATATAAAAAGTTTATGATTACTGGGAGTGAAACTGATTGGCTACGATACAAAAGATTAAGAGCAGTTCTACGAGATGAAAATGCAATACCAAAATTGATGACAGTAAAAATAATAGCAAACAGATGTGGAAAACATTGAACAACATTATTTCTTCTATTAGAAGAAATACATTTTCTAAAATGAATTTCGACGATGCGGTAATGACAAATGAAAAAATAGTAGCAGATCGAGTGAACACCTATTCCATAGAAAGTGTCAACGACATTGTAAGATCAATCGTCATTAATCCCAACCAATGTCCCATTAGATCGGATTATAATGCATTATTCAGTGAGTTTATATCAAAATTGAAATCAAATCAAAGTAAGGGTGGGATTTTGTCTAACAGGGTGCTTTATTAATGTTCTGATATAATTGGAGCAAGAATATTAATCCTAGTAAATTACTGTTTAAAATATGGCGAATTTCCAACAAAACTGAAGTGTTCTACCATAACTCCTGTTTCAAAAGGTAATTAATTCTGAGTTGTACACCAATATGCGGCTAATAAGTATTCTGCCTGTCTTTGAAGGACTTATTTACGAACAGATCATGGAATTTAACGAGGGAAATAAAATTTTAACCAAATTTCAAGCTGGATTCAGGAAGAAACACTCAAGTGGCCAGTCTTTTGCAGAAAGGAACCAACCCACTAAATATGAAAAATCTAGATTTTAGGAAAGTAAACTATTACGAGCAATACCATTTACTGTAAAAAAGATCCGTATGAGTATCCATATTCACACCCTTTAGTATACCGTTAATTCAAATCGTGTTTGGTCTGAAATTAATTTATCATTGCCAAACCTTCAAAGCTTAGTTGCTCAATAATTGTTTTTCAGATTGGTTCCTTTCTGCAAAAAGCCTATCAACTGAAATGGCAATACAAATGCTTTTATAGGACTGGAGGGGATGCATGGACAATAGGAAATATACAGTGATAGTATTTTCGGACTTCAAAAGGGCGTTTAAAACTATTGACAGGAATAAATTACTCACAAAACTGCATCACTACGGATTTGTCGGATCTGTATTCAGAATTAGATAAAATAAAACTGACTGTTTATAAAACAAAATGTATGATAGTAGAGAAATACCTAAATGAAGATACTATCACAGGGTAAATGGTGAAATAATTGAGAAGGTTGAATCAATTAAATATTTAGGTATATATGCATATTGCCAGTTAACTAAAGTTTGAGGATCTCTATTAATACATTATTACAGAAATTGCCAAAAAAACAAATTACTTTTATAGGGCTTCTCATAGTCTTAGTGCAAATTATAAAAAAATAGTTTATAATACCATTATTCCACCGCATTTACTATATTCTTCAACTATCTTGTTCACTGCCAATGAAGCTGTATTCTCAAAATTACAAGTCCTGAAAAATAAAGCTATGAAAATAATATTGAATAAAAATGAGTGTCACAAGAATCGCAGTGGTTGAATATGAAAAAAATGATAATTGGTTCTTATTTGTATATTTAAAATAAAAAATCACCTTTAGCCATAAAATTTGGAACACTACATAGAATTGAATAATCATTACTACAATCATTACACAAGAGGAAATATAGATTTTCATGTTCAAAATTAAAATAGTAATATAACAAACAAATGAATATTTCGGAAAGGATTACTTGAATTTCATAAGCTGAATAATGATATAACGTCTACTTGTACTTTAAAGACGTTTAAAAGGAAATTAGAGGAATATTTCATGGACCGTAAAAATTCTTAGAGGTGCAAATTTTGTTTTTCTAAATATCTGTATGTTATGTAATTGTAGTTTTTCAGGATAATGTAATTGTAGTAATCATACTCATCAAAATACTTTGCCGTTTACAGAGCTTCAACTCCCGAGCCGCGCTGAACGGTCACATCCGCATCCATGGCGGCACCGCCCGTAATTCCCCCACTCCATCGACCGGCCTGCAGGACCGACGCGGCAACACCGCCCTCCACCACCACCACCACCACCATCATCACCCTGCGCACAGCCCGGCGATGACCGTGGTGACGTCGTCGTCGCTGGGTGCCGGCGGCTCCGCCTCGTGTCATCCGGATTCTACCGAAGAGTACCCGTGCAAAATATGCGGGAAGTAAGTGTGCGCCGCCATTGTGCGGCAAATCGCTCGCGCTTGCGATAGGAGAAAGGTAAATGATCGGTGTGTAGGCGTTTACTCGGCGAACGGCCATCGTGGGCTGACGTTGTTTTCGAAAGCGTTTTGTAGTGTGTATGTCCCCCATTTGTAAGCAGACGTTTATTCTCGAATGCAAATATCCGCAATCGAAAGATATGTGTTCAAATATTTTGGTACCCGCTCATCACAATAGGCTAGTTGACACGTCTTTAATTGGATGCGGAGTTCCACAAGGAACCGTATTAGGGCTAATGCTGCTTAATGTGTACATTAATGACCCTTTTCAAGTTGAAAAAACGATAAAGAAATTACTGATTTCGCAGATGATACGTCAATTATTAACTCAGAGAAAGATTGGCGTTCTTTAAAAAAACAAAATTGTATTAGATTTTCGAGAGGTCAAGCATTTCTTCTCCAAAATTCATTCAACTTCAAATTAAAACGTTGAATAGCTGCAAAAACATACAATCAGTTGATCATCTCAAATATTTAGGAATATGTATCTACTAAGTGACATATAAATCCGAACACCCAGTTTAAGTGGTTTTATTTTAATAAAATTTTGTATAAGTACTTAATGAAGCATAATAAGTAAATGATAAAAATTTCAAAATGATTGCACTGCTTTAAAGTCCTTTGACCTTTAATAATGTGTGGATGCACCCTGAGGTGCTACGCATTCTCCAACGCGCCTAGGCATGCTTCTGATCAGATGGTCAATGTCCTCCTGTGGTATCTCATTCCAGGCAACCACTAACTCCTCTCGAAGTGCTTCTAGAGTCTGAGGAGGACGTTGCAAATTGAGCAATCTCCTACCCATCATATCCCATACGTGCTCAATTGGGGATAAGTCGGGAGATCTTGGTGGCCATGGTAACAATGTGACATCATTATGTTGAAAGAAGTCTATTGTGACTCTTGTAACATGTGGTGGGGCATTATCTTGTTGGAAAGTTGGATCTGCCAGGGTGTCAAGATAGGGTAAAAGATGGGGTTCTAGAACTTCGTGGATATAACGCTGCGCGTTCCTGTTACCTCTGATGAAGATTAAAGGTGACCTGGAACCATAAGCTATAGGACCCCAAACCAAAACTCCAACAGTGTGATGAACATGTCTTTCAACAAAAAACTGTGGATTCCTCCTTTCACCACGTCGCCTTCTCACCCTGGCACGATCATCGTGCATGCCTAAACAAAATCGAGACTCGTCACTAAAGACAATACTGTTCCATTCCTGATCCCAGAGTGACCGTTGTCTGCACCACTCAAGGCGATTACGTCGGTGTTTTCGAGTTAAAGGGAGGACCCAGTGTGGCCGGTATGAAAACAAGCCAAAACTTCTCATTCGTCGGTAAACACTTCGCATGCCAATAGGTCTTCCGTGTTCTGCAAACCATTCATTTGCAATAGACCTGGTAGTGGAGAAACGGTCCCTTAAGGCCAATAATCTTATGCGGCGATCTTCACGGTCTGTTGTTCTATGGCGGCGTCCAGTGCCCCTTGCTCTTTGCGCACGGCCTTCTCGAAGCCATGCCTGACAACACCTAACCACAGTGTCTACACTTCTTTGCACTCTAACTGCAATTGCCCGAAAAGAAAGTCCAGCTTCCCGAAGTCCCACTATACGGCCCCTATCAAACTCACTAAGTTGACGAAAGCGTACAGGTCTCCATACTCTAGGCATCGTAACCGATCGTAAATGATGTCAAGAACCAAAATCCGCCAACGTTGATTCTTTACTGCGGCTGAAATATTCATTTTTAGAGCGTTAGTGAATTAAAAAAAAGCAGTATAAAAACCGGAATGTCCAACTGATAAGACTGAAAATTTTTTCACTTGTTATTTACAGTAACATAAATAAATTCACCAACTTTTATTAAAATAAAACCATTTAAACTGGGTGTTCGGATTTATATGTCACTTAGTATATTAATAGTGACGTATGGTACAAAAACGAAACATTGACAAAACAACACATTGTGGATATGTTATGATTGGAGTTGCCATTGATTAGGGGTCATCTCTATTTTGACATAGCTTCATCTATCGTGAAGCTTGTGCTTGACAGGTGTCTGTATTATGCTTGTGAGACATATACACTAAAAAGTATCTTTCTCGAATAATATCAGTCGTAATGATGGTCAGGGTCGCGAGTACGCTGCTTGTTGTGTTGTTGACAAATCCTCTGCTTACGTGCTAATACTCATACTATGTTGTTACCCTCCTATTTTCACTGTCGTTATTTCAAGTACACAATTACAACTTCCAGTGTGCGGAGAAAGGTGTTCCACTTTTCAGTTTGTGTTTTTGTTTTCGTCTGGTTGCTAGGATTTTGCGATGGTGCATTATTTCAACATTACAGTTAGATCAAGTTGAATAACGTCAAAACCATATAAATGAGATCCAACAGACTATGAGCTTCTTGAAATCGTGGATCCTCAACTTATTATTGAACCAGCTTCTGCAGTCAGTTGACGAATCAAGCTGAAAATTTAATCATTTTACCAGTAAGGGACACTGAACATATATGCCAAAGATTATCAAAATCGGATACATACATAGGTATTTACCTTTTTGTATCACTCAGTATATTTTTTGGTTTTTGAGTTGTGAGTAGCTCACAAACTCCAGACTGTGAATGTCTTATTATGAGCATTGCAATCACCGAGGAGAACTACGTTCCCGTTGAAGTTCAGGAAGTCGATCTTGACAGCGAAATAATCTCACTCACTGTTTGTTTCTCTTCATGATCACACTAGTTGAAGTTATACTAAGAGATGCTTGATGTTTGATGTCCGATAATAACAAAGATACTACTGCATTCAGTCTTAGAGAAGCATTATTGTTTCTGACTAAGTAATAAACTGTTTATCCACCTGTTCGAAGTCAAACTTGATGACGGAAAAATCGTTCCAGCCCATCGTATTTTCCTGTGGCAACCAACCTGTTAGAGTTCTATTGACATTTCCTCTCCTCCTGAATCTAAAATGTAATATGTCCTAAGCATGCACTTCTTACACACATAGTGCGAAATACCTCAATGATCCAATTAGGTGTTGAGTAGAGTGAAGTTAAAAGCTTTCGTTTCTCCACAGGTTATTCTTTCTCTTGATCTGGATATTGCACACGAATTTTCATGAAACAAGCTTCCACAGTTCAATTAAAGCTGTTCTAAGTGTCTTGTTGATTTTTATTTGTTCAGGGAGCTTCATTTTTCGATCTCAGATCGGTGGATACATACAACAAAACCGCGAGATTGATAAGAGTTTATCTCAGCCGTCCGATGGTGTCCTCGGATTTGACCTCGACCATGACCTTCAAGGTCATTTGAAGGTCAAGTTTTACTTTTTAAATGGAACCCCGTAAATGATAGGAGCGGAAAATTTTACGTTCAAATATGGTCTTGACCATTCTTAAACGTTGACCTTAGCAGGTAAAATGGTCAAGGTCAAGCCCAGTACGGTAATACAAGTCAGTAGTCATAAAGGGAAACTATCATGATTTTTCCCGGATATTGAATGGTGACTCTGACCTTGGATCTGACTTTGGTCATTACCTTCAGGGTCATTTGAAGGTCCCTTTTTTAATGGAATCCCATACTTTTGACCTCGAAAATGGAGAAACGAGACAACTTTGGGTTCGAATATGTCCTTGACCATCTTTAGGACTTGACCTTGGACAAGTGTGCCTCAATTTCTTAATAATTTAGGAAACTGTTCTTTTCGGATTCTTCCCCAGCTACAAAAATCGACTTGAACTATACATGGCCTTGAAGGCTTTCTTAGCAAAATTGATGGTTCCATTAAAAAATATCGACTTGACCTTTGAATGGCCTTGTAGGTCATGGTCGAGGTCAAAGCCAATGCCACCATTGGATAGCTGTGGTAAACTATCAATCTCGTAGCTCAGTTTTTTTATACCGTTATTAGTTCGAAAATTATCGTGGGATTTCTGAAATTTTCAGAAACCCCGAATATTGTAATTTTCTACTGGAACTTGATTATAAACATTTTCGTGCAAAAGGAAAATATTATGGCATTATGCCTTAGATCTGATGCTGTAGCATTGTTTTTGCAATGTTCAAGGTTATCAGGGATGTGACATATTTAAGTTACAAGTATATGAAATACAGATACAGGATACAAAATACGTATTTTTCTAAGATACTTTTCTAAAATTGCATTTGTGTGTTGTATTTAGATACCTATCTTTTGGTATCTTAGTATTTGGTAAATACCATGCTTACTTAAATACTTTTGGTATGCATTTCTTCGCAGAGCGTGCAATTTAACTTTAGTCTAGTCCAAGTTTAGTCCAAGAATTTGTAAAAGAACTTATCATGACTGAAACAGTGACTTAGCGTGCCCATGAGGAGCGACGCTTCTCTATTGAGGGCATGTTAATAAGACTTTATTGTAAAAGATTCGTAAATAATTCATGTAATAAAGTAAACTCAATAAAATGACAAACGTATTTTATTTTTGAAAAATACCTGAAAGATACGTATTTTGTATCTATTCCACACCATTACCTCAAAGTAGCTTATGGAAAATAATCGGTTCTAAGATTAAATGTATGTATTTATATTTCAACGATTTCCCTACAGATAAATTGAAATCAACAAGACATAAAGGAGCGTACTTTTATTGGGTGTAGGTGCTGCAAAGATAGTCAAAAGTGAAAATCAAATCGATCTCTCTATGCACGTGAGCATGTCACAACAAAAACATTGCCGATCATAATGCCAAAATATAAAACGATTACAAAATTTTACACTCATCCGGAATTATGCATGAATTACGCGAAATAACTGGTTAGCTAATTGAACTACATAATTCAAGTTTGGTATTATTCGGCTTTCCAGTGTTTCTGTCTCTGATCAGTTATAGGCCAGTGAGCACTGCGAAACCTATCAATTCTCATCACAACTTCGTCGTCATGGTATAAAGTTTTAAAGATGAGATAAAACCTCAATACTTACTGAGCCCTATATGAGTGATTCCGTGTTTAATA